GCTTTACCACATTGATTACATTCATAGGGTTTCTCTCCAGTATGAATTCTTTCATGAATTTGAAGACTACTCTTCACTCCAAAGGCTTTACCACACTGATTACATACATAAGGTTTCTCTCCAGAATGAATTCTTTCATGGTTGAGAAGATAACTCTTCATTGCAAAGGCTTTACCACATTGATTGCATTCATGGGGTTTCTCTCCAGTATGAATTCTTTCATGACTTTGAAGACAATTCTTTCGTGAAAAGGCTTTACCACATTGATGACATTCATATGGTTTTTCTCCAGTATGAATTCTTTCATGACTGTGCAGATTGCTCTTTCGTGCAAAGGCTTTACCACATTGATTACACTCATAGGGTTTCTCTCCAGGATGAATTCTTTCATGACTTTGAAGATTACTCATTTGTGTAAAGGCTTTACCACATTGATTACACTCATAGAGTTTCTCTCTTGTATGAAATCTTTCATGACTGTGAAGATTTCTTGACTCTGCAAAAGCTTTATCACATTGATTATATTCATATGGTTTCTCTCCAGTATGAATTCTTTCATGTCTCTGAAGATCACTCATCTGTACAAAGGCTTTACTACACTGATGGCATTCATAACATTTCTCTCGAGTTTGATTTCTATGTACTTGATGCTGAAGACTGTCACATGCAATGGCTTTATAACTTTGATTATACTCATAGGGTTTTCCTTTCAAATGACATCTTTGGTATACTTCAAAGAAGTAATCAGATCTAAAGGCTTTAGCATGTTGATTACATTCATAGAGAGCCTCTTTGTTATTGGTTCTGTGGTGTGTTTGATGATGCCTATCAAGCCTAAAGCCTATAGCAGATGACTCACATTTATTATTTTCTCTTCCCACATGAGCTTTTTCACATCTTTGAAGAGAACTTGAAGAAATCAGAGAACACAGATTGCATTCACAACATTTTGTTTTACTGTGAGCCACACTACATGTGCACAGTGAACCAGTAGACAGAGATGAATTTCCATATTCCTGATACTCATAAAGTTTGTCTCCGAGGAGAGTTTCTTGATGAATTCTCACTGAAGTTGGAAAACCAATTAAGTGTAAACTTGTATCACCAGCATCATGTCTTCTCATAGTGGGGACTACCACATATCTTCCAGTTGTTCTGAGAGAGACAGAAGTACAATGCTTCTTTCCATGTCCCTTATGCTCACATTGATTGTATCCAGAGTGACAGATGACATGCCTGCTAAAGGAAGATAACAAACAAAAGGTTTTCACATTGCATTCACATAGTCAAATGTTTTGTGTGTCATACAGATGTGGTATAGAGATTCATGTTTCTACACCAAGACAACCTCCTGGTCTGTCATAAAGTGCTCCTCTCACTAAACTATGCTAAATCATGCAATATAAGTACCTGAGCAACACTAGCTTTAATACCAAAGCTTTGCTTATAAAAGGTCTTGTCCATACACTAATGCCCTCATCAATGATATGATAATGGGGAGGCATGATGGTAATTGGATGGACAGTTCTACAGCATGCCTCTCACATGGCTATGATTGAAACTGTGACATCTACTATGTCTTTGTTTTCTTGTCTTGTCCTTAAAGGAGTGGTTTGCAAACAGTGATCAGCTACGTGACACTGGAGTGAATGGTGTTGTGACAATTTAATAATCATCATAAAGTTGTGCCAATTCACACAGTTGCTTCTCATTAAAAGTTCAGGGCCCATTAACATTTTTTCAAACTGTTTGAAATCTCCTGCTCAGGCAGCCTCATTGTAGAAAGCCCGAAATCCATGGCTCTTCCCCCAGAGATGTCTGGAACGTGCCTACCAACTATTTAAGACACATCCCATACATCTGCCATGGGTGCTCACATGACCTGACTCCTGCTTTCCTGAGAGCCAACTGGGAGTGCTCTCCTTTGGGTTGCCCTGTTTATTAAATCTGGGTTTATTAATTCAGTTTGATTTGGCTTATTGCATTGGTGACAGAGGAACCCACCAACCAGAGATCCAATACTTATCTTTGGTGCACTGGCCGGGGTGAGTAGTCCTTCCACAACCATGTGGTGTGGCTGTGGAAGGCCATTCACTCCCTCTCCCCACTCCACCTTTGCCACAATGAATGAACAGCTCAGTAAGCCTCCCATTGCCAAACCAAAATGTCTTAGAGGTCCAGAACCTCTTCCAACCTCCAGACTGCCTGCTGAGCCACTGCAGTGTCAGGCTACTCCAGCCTGTTTCAGAGAGCAATAGTCGCTCCCCTTGGAATTCCCCTGTGTGAGAGAGACTTCATCAGAGTCCACCCCACACACAGCTCCCAGATGCAATTTGTGTACCTGCCCTCACAACCACATCCCCAGCAAACGGCTTCTGAAAGGGTACTTGCTGAGTCCAATTTCTGTCCCCAGAATCTCTGGGGTTGTCTCCTCCAAATTGGGGCTGCAAGAATATTGCTCCCATTCCTCTCTCTTCCCTGTTACTCTTCATCTGGTTCCCAGTGTACAGTTTGGCCACACTGTGATTCTAGTGCTCCCATTCCTCTCACTCCCCTGTTCTGTTTGTCTGTCTGCCTGACTCACTACTTCCTCTTTTATGATCTGGTCACTCTGGGATTATCCCCATAAAACATCCATTGTTTTTGTTCCTGTCTGCTCTCACACCCTGAACTATGGCATGAATGTCCTCAGCCTGTTGTCTGACTGTTTGCTCCCTCATTCTTTCCTCCCTCCAGTAGAGATGCTGCCAACACCACACCACCACCACCACCACCACCACCACCACCTCTAACTTCCACCACCACCGCCACCACCAACACCACGGCCTCCACCTCGCTGCAGCCCAGGGGGTTCCCTGTTCCCATACTCCCCACCCCTAAAATTCTGCCTGCCCACTCCACCCTTAAACATTTTCTCCTTCAGTACACCCTGCCAAACCTTCTTCCCTCCTAAAAATCTCTTTTTCCAAAATTCTCAACTTGCTGCTCTGACTTACTCAACTGGGCAGCATGTACTGCTTCTCTGTTTTTCAGTTTCCCTCTGCAGTGCCTTCTCTGGGATCCAGGTATCAGGCTGCCCAAACTGCTGGGAGCCTCATTAAAAAAAATTGTTTCTGTTAATGATCCTGCTTACTTTTTATGTGGGGTGGAAATGTGTGAATGGTGTGGCCACACATGTGTGTTTCTGACTAGTTTTGAATGCCTGAGTTTACGTGTCCTGAATGTGTCTTGCTAATTGGGTATATTTTAAAATCTGTAAGGCTTGTGACTCCAGATGGAAACTGTTCTAAAGAACATCACCAGCTGGCATGTGATTGAATTAAAGAAATACTTCACCACCATCTTTAGTAAGGGTACCCACTTGGACTGGCACCACCAAGGAGACATTAGGACTCCAATATAATTTGGGTTAGGATATATTTCTGTTTGATAATTTCTGTCCAGTCCTAAAAACAAGGTTTATTAAACAGGATTTAAAACAATGCTCATTTTGATCATTGATATTAAAATACAAATTGTTTGCAAGATTAAAACTTGGTTTTACCTGATATATCTTAGGATCACCACTAAAAATTACAGACTGAATCTTCTGGCTTTTACTAACATTGGTAAGCTGTAACTAATTGGGTAAAATGTATGTTTATACTTAACCAACATATGCCCTCAAAGTTAAACCTAAACATCATTTGTCTAATTTAGATATACCTAACAGATTTTGTTCCCACATTCTCAAACATTCTGAGATCTAGGAAAATGGCATTTAATATAAAAGCTTTTTAGGAGAGACATGCCAACTCCTGAAAGTATCCTGTATATTCTCCAAGATGGATGGATAGCCCCAGAAAAACTTCCATCTGCAGGCGTGCCTCAAATATAACAAAGACAGCCACACAATGAAAAGCTGCTTTACACCTTTAACTGCTGCTGAGATTATGTCCAGACTATGAATAGATGGAGCATTGGGGGAACAATTGTCCCACTCTCTCAAGACAGGTAGGCCGATCTCCCCAAATTTCTACTCCACAGAGAATCTGTCAGATCCTCTGGGCTTGGCCTCTGAACAAGTGCTACCTCTGGGACTTGTCCCCCAGTGACCATAGAGAGACTTGGGACTGCCTGGATAACTGGAAAGCTGGCTCACTCCTGCTCATTTACTTATCCTTCTCAGATCTCATGGTGTTTGATGACTAGGGTACTAATAGATTTGTTAGATTAACAGCACCCTCAATCCCAAGGATACAAGCACCTTAGAAGCTCATTAGTACATTTCCTGGTAAAAATAAAGACAGGTGTGCCTCATTCACAGACTCCCTGGTACAAGATAAACTGGTTTCAAATATATCTTCAGAGGTTCAAAGTTTTAGGTTTGATAAATGCAGCTCTGACAAACTGATAAAAAAAAATTGATGACAAACAGTTTACAGGGTTCCTTAAATTTCTGTGAATTTTACTGGTCCAGCTTTTAGAGCTTGGTTAGCATTAGAGAGGATCTAGAACCCTGGAAGCATGTTCAGCTCCCTCTTCCTTCACTCATACAACCTCCTTTCTTCAGTGAATTTAGACTTAAAAATATTCATGCCTTTTAACCCAAAGCCATAGCTTTGTACTATGACACCAAGATGTGAATCTGTTCCAATAGTTTTACAGACACTTGAACGCTCATGGGAAAAGGGCTCTGCTACATTATAAAGAAGTCTGACTTAATGGAAATTAATTTCTGTTTCCAAAGCCTATTTTTGACACCACAAATTTTGGAGCATAGTCTGCAGGTTCACTCCTCCTGCCTGGGCCAAGGCCAAACCCACAGGGGGCCCTACAGATATACCAGCTCAAGCAACAGCTCTGAGAATGCCAACCACCAAACAAGGATGCCAAATGGAAAACACTAACAGGTGGATTTCACCCACAAGGCTGCACATAAAAAGGCTCCATGTCTCTTAACTCTTATTGACAAATTTCAGGATGGATACTCTCTAAATATTCTGAAAAACAGCAGATGTTATGGCTCCAGTAATCCTGGAATACATCATCCCTAGATTTAGCATGCCATCTCCCCAAGCTCCTGGGACTTCACTGCTGGTACCACCTCTACAGGTACAAGTTGGCACCTACCCAGCAACTCAAACCTTGTTTTCCAAGATGTCCCAATTAAGGGCATATCTGCCCTTATGCCTCACTCATTCACCCTTGATTCTTCTGTACAACCAGGACACTTATCAGTTTCATTCTTTCTGGCAGTCTTCCTATTACCAATGGCTATCCCTGTTCATAAGGCCAGTGATAAAAAGCTATTCTTTTCTCTCCTAGCAACCCCGCATTCTCTGCCTCCTCAAGAACAGATGCATGAGGTCTCCTGGATGGCAGCTATCCAAATGCTTCTCCACCCATACCCCTACTGAGCATGGGGTCACCTGACTCCCAACTCCCCCCTACCCACATGGTCCCATTCTAGCAGGAAGTACACAGACTTGAACCTGCACCCACATATACCCCAAATTTGGGATGTTTAGAATCTCCAACTGAGGGGGCCTCATTCCAGAAAGCCCACCTTTGGCAGGTCCTCCCCCCAGAGAGGCCTGGGACCATGCCCATGCCTACTGGCTATTTAAGACCTGGCCCATAGAGCTGCCATGGGTGTTCTCCAGTTCTGTCTCATGCCTTCTGGAGAGCCCCTGGAGTGCTCTGCTTTGCTATGCTCTGTTTATTAAATCTGAACTTATTAATTTGGTTTGATTTGACTTATTGCATCAGTGATGGCAGAACCCAGCAACCAGGAATCCAGTACTTATCACAGACATACATATATCAGCTTACACTTGAAAATTACCTGCTATGTCTTGTAGAATTTGGGTAATGTTCTTCAATATTGTGGTCTTCCCATTTGTACCCTAAAATACAGCACCAGAAAATGTGACATATTACGGGAAATTAGGAACAATTGAAATTACTGTCTTTCATGAACCTTAGAACAGTGCCTGATATATTCACCCAAATTTTTCTTCTTTAATATTCAAAATTATAGGAGATCACCAATCTCCAAGAAAGGCTTCTTCCCTTAAGTTAAAAACTGACAGAAAGCTCACATTCTTACCTACAATAGTGAGGTTCCAGTAGGTTTCCAGCATCACATCTTTGTAGAGACTCTTCTGGGAAGGATCCAGCAAAGCCCACTCTTCATGAGTGAAGTTCACATGCACATCCTCATAGGTCACTGCATCCTAAAGTATCCCATATATGTACATAATAGAAATGGTGAGACTGACTGCATTGCAAATGTACACTTCACTGAGAATATATTTACATAATTCTGTGTGCTTGACACATTCTCTGACATGGGTGAGTAAATATCACATGCAGTCACCAACTCATTTTGAAAGGAAACATCAAGAGAGAATGATGCCTTCCATTCCACTGTCCACAGAATAGATTACAGCACAGCAGGAGAAATGCCTAGGAATATATACAGAGAGACATGCAAACAGAGTAACACTATTAAGTATACATCAACAAAATTTTATCAAAATCATTAACTTCAAGAAAGGATAGACAATAAGGGTGGGTGGTGCACAACTCTAATCCTAACGCTCAGGAGGCAGAGACAGGTGAAATTTGTGATTTCCAAGCCTGCCTGGTTTATGGAGAAATTGCCAGGATAACCAAAGGTACATAGTGAGACCCTGTCTCTAACGGAAAAAAAAAAAAAAAAAACCAAGAAGCACTCAGTCCTCACTCAAAATTTCTCTACATAACCTGTCTTACTCACTTTTCCCTTGCTGTGAAGCACTATGACCAAGGCAACTCTTTTTGTTTGTTTTTGTTTTTCCAGACAGGGTTTCTCTATGTAACAGACCTGGCTATCCTAGGAACTCACTCTGTAGACCAGGCAGGCCTCAGACTCACAGATATGCCTGCCTCTTCATCTCAAGGCCTGGGATTAATAGCAAGCAACACTCCCACTGATTTAAAGATTTTAACAAATTAAATCCAAAAGACTTCAGTCCAGCAAACATGGAGAGTCACAAATCTGTCTGATCACAGCCCAGACCAGACTCAATTGGGAGAAAATGGGGCCAAGCAACATCTTGTGTTTGGGGACTGAGGAGAGAGTGAAAGACCTGGATGAGAACAACTGGCTTCAACTGTTACAATCAGTTGGTGAAACTGGTCGATGGATTCAGCTGTCTC